GACGTCATTCCGTAGCCTAACCAACACCGACGTCATTCCGTAGCCTAACCAACACCGACGTCATTCCGTAGCCTAACTAACACTGAAGCCATTCCGTAGCCTAACTAACACTGAAGCCATTCCGTAGCCTAACAAACAGTCCTCCTTTCGGGAATCTACACATTCACTAGCCAGTTTCTTCTGTCTCTCCTATTAGACTGCAGCGCCCTTTCGTTATGTTCCCAGCACGAACCCGTTAACAGTGCCTGGCAAATAGGCGCCACTCACCATTCTGAGTAAATCAGCACAGGACCAGTGCTCCTTCACCTAGATGGCCCTGTGACTGGAAGTTTGTGACAGTGACTTCTTTATGAGTCTATGTACTGTAGTGTGATTTTTGGTCTTCTCTATATATACCTAGTAGAGGCATTACAGGATCAAATGGCAGTCTATTTTTAGTTCTCTAAGTGTTCTCCAGATGACTTTCCAAAAGGGGCGTATTAGTTTGCAATCCCACCAGCAGTGCAGAAGTGTTCCCTTTTCTCCAAAACCACGCCAGCATCTGTGATTTGGGGATTTTGTGATGTGGGCTAATCTTACTGGTGTTAGATGATATCTCAAAGTAGTTTTGATTTGCATTTCTCTGATGATTAAGGATGGTGAACATTTTTTATATATCTGTAGGCCATGCACCTGTCTTCTTCAGAGAAGTTTCTCTTCAAGTCCCTTGCCCACCCTGAGATGGGATCACTTGCTCTCTTCTCGCTAATATGTTTGAGTTCTCTGTGGATTCTGGTTATTAAACCTTTGTCAGAGATATAACCAGCAAATATCTTCTCCCATTCTGAGGGCTGTCTGCTTGCTTTTCTTACTGTGTTTTTGGCTGTGCAGAAGCTTTTTAATTTTACAATAAAGATACTTGTACCAGAATGTTCATTGCAGCCCAATTCATAATTGCTAAGTCATGGAAGAAGCCCAAGTGCCCAATGACCCAGGAATGGATCAATAAATTGTGGTATATGTACACCATGGAATACTATGCAGCCATAAAGAAAGATGGAGACTTTACTTCCTTCATGTTTACATGGATGGAGCTAGAGAATATTCTTCTTAGCAAAGTATCTCAAGAATGGAAGAAAAAGTATCCAATGTACTCAACCCTATTATGAAACTAATTTATAGCTTTGATAGGAAAGCTATAACCCAATTTTAGTCCAAGAATATGGAGAAAAGGGAGAGGGAGGGGGGGGGAGGGAGGAAGGAGGGAGATTGGTGGGATCACATCTATGGTTTATCCTATGAGGGTACATGTGAGTCTTTCTAAATGTAGAATATAAATGTCTTAACACAATAACTAAGAAAATGACATGAAGACTATGTTAACCAGTTAGATGAAAGTATTTCAAACTGTATATAGAAACAACACACTGCACCCCATAGTATTAATGTACACAGCTATGATTTAATAAAACAAAAATTAAAAAGACATTTTTAAAAAATGAGTCTATGTATTGAATTACTGGCCAAGAATCGTAAGAATGTTATGATGTGAAAATCATATTTTAGAGTAGACCAGAAGTAAGAGAAACTGGAGCCTAAAATTTGCTTTAGTCAACAAGTACAACTTTCATCAATTCGAAATTAACTTGTCAAACTGAAAAGAGAGAAAGCTACCTTAATATTTTAATTTATACCATAATGATAGAGTGTTTAGAGCTTTTAATCAAATGCCGAATATGAACCTAACTGATGAAGTGGTTATATTCCATCTTTACTGCTATGCCTACTCCTACCCTCTACCACTCCTCCCAGAAAACTCTCCAAAAACATCAAATCCAATTTTCCTCATGTTACTTTTCACTCAGGACCCTGCGATGGCTTCTGATCACATGTGTGATGATGACCGAAGTCTGTGCTCTCTAGAATCTCACAGGATGGTAAGTTTCGGGGTTCTCAAACAACATCAAATGGCAGAGCTTTGGAAGTCACAGCGCTCTTTGCACAACTATGTGACAAATCTTTGTTTCATTCCAGTAGAAAATTTGAAACAATAAAAAGCATAGTTATAATAAAGACAGGAAATGTAAATATCACTAATACTTGTCAATGAAAAAATAAATACATGAACTAACATGACTGACTCCTGCTTTTGTCTTATTTTCTACCTAGTGAAACACTTGGTAATTCACACAAAAGGGTTGAAAATATTTGGTAATTCACATACAAGGACTGAAAAAGCTTAAGACCAAAAACTATTTTTCTAGTAACTGGGGAAAAGATTACCATTTTTCATTCTTAGTGGCAGAAGCCCCCTCTATATAGCAGCCGGCTCATGGTCCCTGGGAGCTCAGTTTAAGAGCACTGACCTAGTTAGGGAGACAGGATTCTGATTATCCCTAACAACTACAGGAGTCTCTGACTTAGCTGGCATTTGAAAACATACACACTTAGGTTACTACTGTAGAAAAGTTAAATAAATGTCAAAATCTGGTGCAAATGTAAACTTTTAACTGAGGAGAACAACTGTTCCATAAACCAAATAAATAATCGATAGTACTCAAGAGTTCAGGAGGTGTTTAAATCAAGTCATCTTAAAAAAATGGTGAAGACTGCTTAAGATCCATCATTCATCAGAGATCACAGAGATAATAATCACATATTAAGAGCAAATCTTATTTCTGCAGCTGTAGAAACTCTAGCTACTTTGCAGTGAGATGGATTACCTGAAGTTATAATTTTACCACTAGATCTTAAACTTACTGCCAGAACAGTTGCCAGAGATAAGACAACTAAGGGGGAAAAATAACATCATTGGAAGTAACCATCACTTCTCTGTAGATGTGGCAATTATCCCTGGCAGCTCTCTTCACCTCTCTATTATCACTAAGGCAGGCTGGGAGGATCCTGGGGGCACTCACTCCTGTAGGCCCTACACCCTCCTGGACAGACATATGTCCCACGTCTAGACCACAGATGGCCAGGAGAGGACCAGAGAGAAAAGAAAAGTGCCAGAGCTGTGGTACCCGGCCGCAAACCTCGTAAGTTTATCAGAGGACAACACCTTCCAAATCTCATGTTGAAATTGATCCCCAGTGTCGGCGGTGGTGATGAGTGAGCTCTCGCTGTTAGTTCACACCAGAGCTGGCTATTTAAAGGAACATGGCACTGTGGCACCCCTCTCCACTCTCTTGCTCCCTCTCGCCATGTGGCACTCTGGCTCCCCTTTGCCTTGTGCCTTGATTGGAAGTCCCCTGAGACCCTCACCAGAAGCGGATGCTGGTGTGCTACTCCCAAAGCCTGCAGACTCGAGAGCCAAATAAACCTTGTTTCTTTATAAATGACCCAGTCTCAAGTACTTTCCTTGTAGCAATGCAAACACAGAGAACTAAGAAATGTATGTAATTACTGTGAACTCCAAAATTATAATGAAATAAGTGCACTTATTCACATCATAACACTGCACGAGCTAACAAAAGCAGTCAATCTTAGCCTTTGAAAACTGCTATTTGCATTTGCTATGCTTTTTTATTGTATATTCATTACATCTTTCTTTTTTCATTTCATTTACATCCACGAAAAAATGGAAAATGCATTATTAATTAAATGCATTCTGGACTCAGCTTAACAGGGCATCTGAATAGACACTCCCACCCCCATGCAGCCTCTGCCCCCCATCCCCCGCCTTCTCGGAACAATCTACACAAAGGCAGAGAAAAAAGAGAACAGCACACCCTACCAAAATTAACTTCTGATGAGAAACCTCGGGTGGCTTCACTATCTGAAAGTCCTAGAAAACCAAGACTAGAAACAAATTAATGGAGGCCCCAGCTGTCTGACTGGTACATCCCATGCAAGGATCGCTCTGCTCTGTGACACACAGTAATTCTGCCATCTGAGAGAGGGACTTGAGCTCGCTCCCTCTCCCTGACTGCTGTTCCAGAGGCACAGCGCTCATGTACGGGAAGGATGGCTTCATGGCAGCTGGAGTTGTGGGACTGATTCCCAGTTCCCTGGTGAAACGTCTCTTTAGACATCCATTTACATCCAATTCCCTATGAAGAACATGACAGAGGGCACAGGGGCACCAAAATGGTGACCTGTATCCTGAAGGTTCAGTGTCACATGAAAAGCTCTGCAGAGAAGTGATGTGACAGAAATCGTTTCTTCCATATATTTCACCTTTTTAAAGTGCCCAAAACTGGGCCTAAGAGGCATGGTGGCAGAAGACTAGAGTTTAGTTCAGCAAATCCACATTTATGACCACCTGCCATGGGAACATGTAGCAACAGATTCCTTAGACACATGATTTGAGAAGGCATTCACAGCTGAGTGAAAACAACCCCCACGCTCTGTTGCCAAATACCAGTACTGTCCCAAGGAGGGCACTAGGAAAAGAAGACTCCCACATGTGAGAAGGAAATTACATCCTGAAGATGCAGAGAAAATATCGCTGAGTAAAATTTCACAAAAAGACTAAAGATAATTTTAAAAAAAATTTATTTTGCATACATTTGAATAAAGATACATAAGCAACCAAAAATGAAAGAATGACAAAAAGAGAAAAAAGAATACAAAAGACAAAAACAGCAGGTGAAGATGAAAAGGGGGCTGGCTGACACGAGTTTGTAACAGCAAATCAAAACCCACAGTGACA